AAACTTCACCCCGGGATCACGGGCCAGCGGAACGCGAGGAATGCTTCCGCACAATCTCGGTTCCGCTTGCTGCCTGCTAACGAGGATCAGACAAACAGCTGTGGAATTTTCAATTCAAGCCTATTTTAATGCATTCCGACGTTTTCCTCGGGATCAAGCAGCTGGGAGAATGACTTCTCCTCTAACAAATCAGCGGACGATTATGAGCCTTAGGCGGGTATCGTTTTTCTTGAAAATCATTTCTCTCGTGGGGCCTTCTCATGAAAAGTCTGTCGGCTTCATTTCGCTTTCGAATCTATGGAATCTATGTAACAAGCAAGTTTGTTCATCAATTCATACAATTGCGGGTTTCCGCGAGGGATGAAACTACTGTTTTCTTTTGGCTAAGATTTCCCGTGTATAGGTCGGCTGCTCATTTTTGGCTTGATAGCTTAGAGTGAAAACAGTATGTTTTATTCATGATGCTATTGTTCGCAAGATTATAGTTTCGAATGCGTTTGCTTGTTGCGCCGTTTCGACACTATTCCTTCTTCGTCTTGGGACGTGAGCTAGATGTACAATTGAAAAACTCACTCAACAAGAAACATGCAAAGAATAATCTTCATTTCAGACGCACCGTATACAGTATCACACTATCAAAGTGCGGAACACACTAGATTTCGTAGTAAATCAAAATTTTTCGCCTGTCAAGGTGAACAAATATTTCAGGCGAATCGAAGGTGCACAGTTATTCGCCTCACACGTCGAAGAAGCAGGTATACTATACAACAGGTTTCACGAATAAGTGCGAATACTTTTAGCCAACAAAATGAATAAATTGTGATCGAAAATTACGAGCTGTAGCCACAATAAATTTCAGCTTACATCGATATCAAGCTTCAAGCAATGTTGCATGATGGCAACTTCATGACCCGTTGAAAAGCTACTGAAAAAAAATTTTCCAGATGAGTTCAAATTTGAAGTTTGAATCATTAGTTTTTTTGTGTCAAGCTAATGCACATCATACATCGAAACACCCATCGTGGCCACAAGGTATTTTTTGAGTATGTGAGCACTATAGGGATCGAATGTGTTCCTCATCGAATGATAATTTAAGACACGATCGATTTTTAGACGCCACCAATTTTTTTTGCGGCGGGATTAGAACGAAGGGAGTCTCATTTTCGCACGAATATTGCATAACGTCGTAAATGGATTTTACGAAGGTTTATTTGCTTTCTAAATAGAAAAAAATTATCACAGACGGAATGCGGTGTCATTGTAAGACGGTCAGATTCTGCTGAATAACCTCAAACTTGAAAAATATGTGCTTGGGCGCGACGCAAGGAACATATGCAATCTTGTTGATTAAAACATTCAGATTTACGGAGAATGGCTTAATTCCCGATCCCCAAGCAATTTGATTGAACAAAAATGGAACAGCCTTTGTAACCACGCGTGGAACGCTTGCAAGAGAATGACAGATGCCGCATTTACGAAGGAAACAGAGAAAGACAAGAGTCGATCATGAATTTATTTCCCGAGTTCCTGACAACCGTGAAACACGGCTTTTGTCGTAATTATTTCGAGGGTGTAAAAATGGACGAAATTCACGCCTCGCTCGACCGGGCATAATGATGGCCAGTACTCCCAGTGACGCAACAAGAGCGAGGCCTTGGAGCCCCAAGTCGCGCTCGGGATTTCGCGTTCGCGGCTGCACTTGCGGGCACACAGACCATTAATCTCGCCTTCCATTACATTCCATCATTAATTTCCCTGATTATTACCTTGTTACGATGCGTGTAGGACCAGGGATCGTCCGTCTGAGTTTCTGAGCGTTCGCTGCGGCGGGGGAACTATCGCCATGGAAATAGTGACTTGAGTCTGGAGCATAATCCTTTCGCAAATTTGGCTCGTACACTCAGTGACGTGTCACGCAAATTTTCCCAAATTACCTTTTTATCCTGCCAAACTCGGCCCGAGGAGGGTTATGATAGTTCGCGTGATTAGTTTGACATGATTACCCTCGAGATTGGTGTAATTTGTACCCGGATTTCACGCACATCGTCCGTCCGAACTTGCGGACTCAGACACGATGAGTAAAATTAAGACTCACCCTGACGTAAGTTTTCAGAAAACCTGAGTTTTACTTCAGAGAGCATGACCGGAAGGCATTTTGATAACAAAAGCAAATCCTCTATAGAGAACCTCTCTAAAATACTCCGTGTTTTTTTACATGCCAGTTTTATGATCGACGAACCTGCTATTGATGTACAGTACTGAACAGTAGTATTTTCAGACCCCTCTGCAAAGGGACTTTTCCTATGACGACATATTTTGTTCCCCCCCCCCCGTTTCCTAAGTTAAATTCACTCTGCTTATATTTTCTACAAAAATGGAAGGCTCCGAAGAGGCGAAAAATCAGGATTGATGCAAGGTTGTCTTCATAGAAATAACGTTAAAGCATGCTTGGAAATTCTCCCAGACGATGCGCGAATTTTATTCAGTTTATAAGATTTCTTTTTGAAAATTGTGTGCATTTGATCATTTTTCATTTTTATTAAATCGTAAAACGCTGTGAAGATTTTAGCGGTTCTACGCTTTAGTGGAAAAACTTGGGAATAAAAAGATAAAACCATCAATTTTCAAGAAGTGACCAAGACGAGTGGGCATAAAAGCGTTTGATAATTTTCATGGGAATTCCTGTCATTCCAAGCCTGTGAGGCTTATTTTGGTGATCGGAAAGAGGAACACAGGTTCTTTGCATAATGCGGTGACGACTAGTGCGCATTTGTTATAATCTGCTTCACGCATCAGCAAATAATATTTTGAAACCCAACGCCCGTCAAACAGACCCGACGTAGGTAGATACTCAGGCGCATTAGAGAAGTTCAAATTGATACATTCAAGCAACAATTTGTCCTCCTCACCGGCCCGTCCTCTCGTGTTTTCGGCTGGTGCGATATCTTATCCCGGAATCGATGTTCGGGATTCGTTCAACAGGACCATGAGAGTAATTTACAAACCCCCTTTTGAGCTGTTCAGGAAGCTGGCAGCTGCTTAAAACACGTTTTATCCACCGTGCATTATGCATTCCGCACGGATTTGAACAACCGCATCTTTTTGTAGGCAGCATCTGGTGTTGAATGGACTGCTTCGGGACGCTTTTTAAGCCGAAGCACGTGAATCATTGCAACATGGGTGCGAGAAAAACGCAAAATTTTCGCTGCAGTCGGCAACGGAATAAAATTATTCGCCGCGAGACTTCGTGAATGGTGAAATACGCAGTAAGTTCTCATTGAATTTTCATCGCTGTTCGAGCGGCATTATTTGGATGCAATTCATGCATTATTCGGATCCATTCTCATGCGTTGTTTGGTAAACGATCCATTGTCTCGAGGTGACGACTGGGATGTCAACGAAGACATTTCAGATTCGATACCGAATTTATTTCTTACGCTATGTGCGCACTGTCGCAAAAGAGCTGCTCAAACTGACGAGAAGAAATGCTCGAAATGAAAGCTGTGCTTTTTCGACTCCAGTGTTTAGCTTTCATGGCAGCCTCTTCGAGTTTAGTTGCAGGTGTAGCTGAGGAAGTTTTGGATCCTCATTTACCCAAATAAAGAAGTTTATCACCACGCTGAGTCATGCAGTGACACAACTATGAGGACCTCCACTGTAATCAAGTATTTTACGAAGTCCGTGAACGAGTACTTGAGGATAACGTGCATGCAAAGATATCGAGTCTTCTACACGAAATGAGAGACATCGTTGAGTTTAAACGTAACATAAACGTGTTAACGTCTTCACAAAACCAAAATTTGCTTCATTCTATGTTCTTTTGAAGGAAATCTTGAATACGAAGTCCAGAAATGTATTTAAAAGGTGGCTGATGTTACCTGCTCAATAAAGGCGTGGTTGCATGTTTAAAAAAAAAACGTTGCGTTTTCAAAGCATCTCGCGTAGAGTCCTCCAGACCTAACTTGAGCATCGACAAACACATGTCTTGAATCATAAAAATATAAATTTCTTGTCCTCACGATTTGTCTTGTTGATCTTGAACTGCGTACTTCGTACTCCTCGTCTGATATTTGCATATCCAGCGTCTTATTGTAATTATTGTTCTTCACTCTCCGCGGAGTTCCTGAGGAGTGCATGCTTTGTTTTATGAGCTCCATGGAACACAGATCAAGATTTGTTTTATGACGGAATCATTCGAAGAAAAAACATCCAAAATAATTTCCAAAATATTCGGATCGAATCATCTTCGAGGTAAGAGCTGAGAAAAGCATGTGCGTGCCTTCCGTGGCAATAAATTAAATCGATGACCTGCCCGGGAAACTTCGGTTTAAATTTTTCACTCGTTCGATACAACTTATTCTTACGCAAATTTTACCGTCAGTTTTTGCAAGCAGTGCTACTTGTACAACTAGTACATGTACAACGGGAGCACCTAGGCATGGGGCTCATGAAATTTGCTTGAGGCAGAGGCGTGTTTTTTGTTTGTTGAAGGGTACTTTGTTATCAAAACAATTTCAACGATGGATGATGGTGTACTAAAATGTGAGCGAAAAACAATACAGTATAAACAAGACAGCAAAATGCAAGTTGAAAACGCAAGGAACCGAACACCGCACAGTGCAGTGTACAGTACCCGAGTCTGAAGTTGAGCTTTTAAAATATACCCTGTAGGTTGGTGGAATTAGTGAAATGTTCGCGTCCATCGTGAGGGTTGAAGTCTTCCGCTGAACTCATAATAGCTTGCAAACAAACATTGCCATGTTTTCAAGGTGGCGATTACGAACCCTTTTCCAGAAAGAAAAAAAAAGTTCGAGCAGCCATGTTTTGCAGAACAGGATTCTCGACGAAGATTTTGGGATTGAAATGAGGAAGAAGCTCGGGTGTGTGATATTGACGTAGTGCGAAAAATTACTGCATTAGGCGCCGATTTGTTGACGTCACGAAGGTCAGCTCGACGCGTGAGAAAATGAACTCGAGCAGCTGGCAGAGAGGAGGATGCGATGGTATCAGAGCAGGATTTGCAAGTGAAATTGCTCGTGTGTGGCCGGTGTGCATGCGCAGGATTTACCGCCGCTGATCGATCAGTAAGTCAACGAGGGCAAGTCAGTTAGCGCGCCTGCTAGCACCGCCCTACGGCCCGCCTCCAGCTCCGCCCTCTTCGTCGCCGCTCAGAGACGCCTCTCGCCGCCTGCCCGGCGGTGACTGGCGGTGGCCGGCATTGCTGCGCCGCGCCTCGGCGTCGACGGTCCCGGACCGCCGAGGGGAACTCGCGGCGGCACTACACGCCAATCCGCAGTGCTGCGGCCACACGCACCCGCACCGCGTCCAGCATCAGAGGGCGCTTGAGAGTAAATTTAGAATCCGGGGACTCGGACTGCGCTGCCTTGGCTGCGGTTCAAGCTCCGCGTGCCACTTTCCGCGGCGCGGTTGAAACGATCTGTTTGTGTCGGTGTGCCGCGAGCGATTTGCTGTCTTTGTTTCGAGTGCCTTGCGGAGAGTATCAGAGTGATTTCTTCCGTGTTTCTCTTTCCCTTGACTTGGAAGATGACGGCGGCATCAGTGAGGGTGTCGACGCGGCGGCGATGATAGTCGGCAGCAGGATGAACGTCGGACTCGGGATGGATCCTTGCGGCCTTGGGGCTGCGACGATGCAGGCTTCGTCGGGTGGGTTACCGGGACTCAGCGGCGCCCCGGGGCCCGCAACGGCGGCTCTACCGACGTTCGGGTTCACGCAGGAGCAGGTGGCGTGCGTGTGCGAGGTTTTGCAACAGAGCGGCACTATCGACAGATTGGCTCGGTTTCTCTGGTCGCTGCCCGCGTGTGAGGACTTGCAGAAGAACGAGTCCGTCCTAAAGGCCAAGTCCATTGTTGCTTTCCATCGGGAAAACTTCAAAGAACTTTATCGCATCCTGGAATCTCACAATTTCTCTCCTCATAATCACCCGAAGCTCCAGTCGCTGTGGCTCAAGGCTCATTATATTGAGGTTTGTCATTTCGCACTCTTATGACGCATTGTATACTCGTGCAGCTCTGGAAAGAGTCGAAAACGTCTCACTGTGTGCCATAAATCGTTGTCCATACGCGTTCTTATTCGGGCGAGATTGCCAACAAGAAATATGATCAAAACATAATTATTCACATTATATTAAGGTTACCTCTGAGTTTGCAATGTACGCTTCTGGAAAACATCTCACTGTTCTCCAGAAACCTCACGTACATGTTCTCAGTTTGTTCGAGATTCCTAAAAAAACGACCAAGCATTAATTGTTTTCATTACTTGGAGTTTTGTCATTTCCTACTCATTGACTTCGTGGTAACATCTTCCAAACGCGTGCCAAGTCAAGCAATTTTCCCGACAAAATGACCATGTCATCATGTTTTGAAGGGTCGATTTCATCATTTTTTCGTGGAAATCATGCGATTTTCACTCCTCGTGGAGTCATGCCTTCTTTGATGTGGAATTCTCACTCCCGAGGAAAACATTGTGATGTTAAATGCTACACATGTTCGAAGAATACGAGTAGTATGATGTCGGCCAGTTGAAATCACGAACAGCTTAAATAATGTGCAGTTTCTAAGCTCTAGAAAAATCGAAAATGGCAGGATCCTCTTGACACTGGTTGGTCGACTGCAATTTATTAACATTTCGCGTGTGAATTTCAAGTTGTGAGAAATTTTCCATCAAGCGATTGACGGACCTACACCTTTGCTGTGCACATTTTCCTTATATTTGGCGATCAGTGTAATTTTGTCTCCATTTGGTTCGATTTGATGCCAGATTGCTGTCCCATTGAACGGATATTGAATTTTTTAATTTATGGAAATCATCGGTGTTGGGTTCCATGGTTGAAAAAAGCTCAAAAATAAATTTTAGAAAGTCACGCTAATCTTTCAAAAATCAATCGTTCTCGTTAAGAACGCTGGAATGAAAAACCTCTGAAGTGACCACTTTTTTGGCAGAAGTATCTGCACAATTTTCAAAATTCCTACCTTCGAAATATCGAAATAAGGCAGAGCTCTTAAGGGTTTAATATTTTATAAAGATTTTAGGGCTAGATTTTATGAATATTCGCATAATCGAGACACGTGTTTCCTTCAGGCATATATTTTGAATTCTGAAAAGTTTCAAAAGAACGCGAATTTAAATGTATGCAATGTGGGAGTTCGTATTTAGCATCGCAAATTTCCTCAAAAGAAAGATTCTTTTTTGGTAATTTATACATGGTCAGTTTTGCTGTCGGAATAAAATCAATGTTACTCCAAATCATCTTCCCATAGCCCTTTTTTAATTCATCCAAACACCAATTTAATTCATGCAAATTTGTAAATCACATGTTAATTCGAACCTTCAAAGTAGAAATCGTCGTTGTATGTAACGAGGATCTACAAAACCTCTGAAATACAAAAATATTACGGGCAGCAATTTCAAAATGAAAATGTTGTAATGAGGAAAACTGGCCGGGTGTGAATTCTTCTCTGGAATAATCTCGGATAAGCTTCGGAGGGATATACCATTTATAAATTTGTTTCCTTCATCGTCATGAGTTGAAAAGGAACGCCGGTCTTCGAGGGGAAAATAATTTTCCTCGACTCACATCGAGACGGAGTTATTTGTTGAAGAACAAACGATAAAATGAATCGCCATTCGTGTTGAAAATCAGTCAACGAGAAGTACAACGTGGCAATTCCTCACTTCGTTCCGGGCGTTTTCTCGGATCTCCGTCACGTTTTGCGCTTGAGGTACCTCGTGAAGGATGAGGGTGACATGATGCGCGCGAGCCAAGAAAACGTTCCCCACGATTCCGAACCCGAAAGAAAAAGGGTTTCTATAGTCACGCCCCGATGTCGACAAGAAACAATTGCGTCGCATCTGATCCCTCACCGATCTCGAACCGTTTCATGGTCTCTTAACCCGGGGGTTTTCGAGTCGACACGCTCGATTTTCCGCGTCTGTCTAATGTCCATTCCCCAGCCCGAAGGTGTTTTTCTTTTCCTTGTCGAGACGCGGGTCTTTTTCACCTGTGGTACTCTCCTTTTTTTTTAACCCTGGTGGTACTTCGCCACGTGGTACACGCAATAGAATATGAAATAAATCTGAGGTGTTGAATGTGGACTCCTTTATCCTCAAATTAAGATCAGACTGGCACTTGCCGGGTGGTACACCGAGGTGTATCGTGAATGCGAGAAAAAATCTCAAGGGTTTTAACTGTCAGTGTCACACTTGGACTCCAACTTCAAGGATTTGACCTATTGGGACCATGGTTTATTGAAGTATTTGGCGCATCTTTTGGTTGAATATGAAGCCGTGATGAAGCTTACTTACAGGCATTAAGTTAAGGACTCGTTGGGTACAAAATACGTGGTACATGAAGCAAAGCGTCTGTCTTCAAATCACTGCAGTAAGATTTTAAAAAATGGAATACTCCGAATGCAATTTCCAAAATTATCGGGCAAACTGAAGTGTGAGATTGCTGGCTACAGAAACTTTTCTCGGAAATAACTCCAAAACAAAAGCTGTCAAAACCGCTGAGCTTATGATCCTGCAATCGACGGACTAAGCAAATATTTTTACAAATGAAGAATTCGCTTAGGATGCTTTTTACTGGAATGAGGTTAAATCTGGTATCTGGCAAAATAACTGCAATGAAAAAGTGACAGACTGTTTTTCTCAATTCATTATGTATTTTGTTGCGGCGTTTCTTAATAAACGTTTTTTCGACACACTGATGGAATACTGTGCATTTCTATCCTGTTACTTTTGTGGCTGAAACGTTTCAGTTTTCCTTTTGTCAGTAAATTATCCCCGAATCAAAACGCTTGAAATCTTCGAAGTTCTCTCTTCCAATGCGAAACAGTTTGCAAAATAGTTTCAGCTCTCGAACGAACAAACACGATTTAAATGACAAGATTCTCTTCTTCCAGGAAAAAAATTCGTCACTAGGAAAATATTTCTTTAAAAGTCAAGTAATTCCAGATAAAAGACAAGAGCTCAAGTCTCCGACGCTTGACAGCTATTTTCTGCTCGTTACCGGCGGGAAAATACACACGATTGAACCTTCACAGCATTGTTCGGGTTGGCCGGGTTACAGCTAACCTTTGGTACATTTTTTCAGGTCCAAGTTCTGAATTCTTGTGTTAGTGGGCGCAGAGAAGAAGTCAGCGTTTGGCCCGAATCCGGATTCCGAAGGACTGTGACATTAATTCCTTCTGTTGTTACGTCGTACACTCGTACTGCGGAATTTCAGCGCGAATGTCACCTGCGCGTGTAAGCGAAAATTTGGCGTCGTTTGTTAGAAAATATTCCGTTAGGTGTTTTTGTAACCCTGACGCATGTATGAATGCTATGCAGGTTCGATTCTATGACAGTTCCATTTGAGTTCAAGGCTTGCAAGTACAGTACCGAGGTTTTCTCTGCTTTTGTGTGATTTTTCACTGCTGGCGCTGTCAGGTCGAACCGCAGAATTTCAGAACTAATTCACTTGCCTTTTTGTGCGATGCAAAACGTCGACAAAAGTTTCTTGGAAGTACAGTATTATTTCTATAAATTAAAAATTACAACAAAGGGGACTCGTGGCTGATCGATAAATAGCTCTGATGTATTCAGTCGTTAATTCAAGTTCCAAAGGTGTAAGCGCAGTTTTTCGCCATCTGGCGCTGTTTTCGGTCGGATATCACTTGCGTATATTTTCGACATGAAACTTTCGCGAAAATTTTCAAAATAAATTGTTCCATTATTCTTCTGTAATTTAACTCACGATTTAAGCATATAAATTGCATTCCATCGAGTTACAATGATTCGAACTTCTGAGAAACCGAGGTCTCTTAATTTATTTTTCGCGACTGACATTGTCTTCAGGGCACGTCAATTCCATCTTTTTCGACGTGGAATTCAAGGAAACTTTCCATTGAAGGAATTCCGTCGTATATCTCCGTAACCTGTAACTCGTGCTTGATTCACATTTCGTTTTTATTCATTAACATTTCTTGAACCCAATGTTTTGGAAGCTTTTCTCAGGTCTCGTTTTTCTTGCCAGTGGTGTTGTCCCAGGGCATGTCAAATGCTGTACACCTATTTTTCGATGTGAAACTTTGGTAGAACTCCACTATACAAAACGTGACTCATGACCGTTTGCTGTCAATGTTAGAATTACTGTATTCAAGTCCCAAGTAAAACAATATATGTTGTAACAGATTTGTTCTGATTTCAATCTCCAGAATGAAAAAGCAATTATGAAAACTCAATGTATCCTCAATTTTTAAACTCTGAAAGACAGTAACAATGACATTTCGGGAATTTAGAAACGGGTCGTTTTTTTGCAGTTTGAAACTTCAAGGAATGGTTTTTTTTATTCTTTACCCATGACAGGTAGCATGTGTGATTTTTTGAATTTAAAGTTTTTGTCTTATTTCAAATTGATGTAATCTGGATCAATGCAATCTTGCCTGTGGTTAAATTCAAACTGAATGGGTCGATCAGATATGTATGTCCTGTGCTTCAGTGCTCCGCAGTTTGTTTTCTGCTTCCTGTTTTTTTTGCCACTGGCGTCGGGTCGGAATCTGGTCTCGAGGATAACCGACGAGAATCGGGGTCTCGATAGGGTTTTTTAGGGCGAGAGAAAATCCGGCGGTGATAACGAGCTTGTCTGGTACGCGTGCACTATTTGCTGAGTGCACCGTCTCAATCAACCCCCAGGGGTTGGTCCGTACCTAATTAGCGGATAACCTGCCACAAGGCTCGCCGAGTGGCGCGCTTGCTTCACCGTCTGGAGCCGTGACGGGAATTTACACCGGCGGGGACTTCGCGAACCCAGTGCCAGTACAGGGCTCGGATTCCACTCGGCAAAACGATAAACAAAGCTTTTATTTTTCGGTCTTCTTTCCGAGGCACACACGTGCCAGACTCCTTCGACTGAACCCGATACTCGAACACATGCGCATAAGTTGCAGTGAGCGTAAGCCGGTGTTGATAATGAAATCTCGCTGCGCTCCTGTGGAAGGGTACGCACTGCTCCCTCAAAATTTTATATGCATTTAATTATAGGCCGCACCAGCAACCCCATTCCTTAGATCGCTTGAGTTCTTCGCAGTGACTGGGACACTAGTCTATGGTATATTCGTAGTAAAATTTGTGGAGTTTACGTACAGTGATGTACTGTATTAGAATATGCCCTCGATTTCGAAAAAAGAATGATTCCTTAGCGTCTGAAAGTGCAACAAATGGATCTTCCTTCGATTTGCACACTGGCATTCTAATTGCGAAGCCAGACAATCTGGCTCAATGCGTAGTCCTGCCACTGGTCGAATTGAAATGGAATGAATAAGCTTTCTAGTCGTGCAGAATATAGACAGTCAATTTTTCTCAACAGATATTTCTTTTTTTCTTGGGTGCCGATTTTGCTGTTTGATTCTGAAATGGCTGCGTAAAATCGGAATGCGCTCGATACCCGAAAGCAGTCCGAAATCTCCGAAAAACTGAGAGGTTTTTTTCGCTATCACAGAATCTGCTGACACAATGGTCCTCGATAAGGGATGAATCATTGTGATGAGTCAATTCCGACTTGCCAAAGGCAAATTTATTTATTTTCTCAACACGAAGCACAAATTGACGGGCTATGTTCATTTTTCGAACAATGTCCAGCTGATTCATGCTCTTTCTTCAAGCCGTTGTGGATGAAGTTGGAATTGTTCCAGATAAAAAAAAAGGACGCTTCCTCTTGAACGAATGCAGAAGTCTTGGGTGGATGCCTCATTCGTCATCGTTTCTAATTATTTTAATAATTTTTAAAGAGGCGACGTGGCGGAAGAAAAGACCGCTGATGAAAAAGTTGCGTGAGTTAAAATTGCGAAAGGAAGAAGACGACTTTGGAGAAAGCGTTGAAAGGGTAACAAATATTGCTGCTAACTCAAGCATCAAGCTGGAGAAATTCGAGATTCAGAAACGTGCAGTGAGAAAGGAATCCTGTCGAAATAATAATGCTGCGCAAAAACACCAAACGAAAATTTCCAAAAAGCAACCTTTTTAATGTATAGCATTTCAAATGAAGGCGAGAAGGGATATCAGTGTGTACGTCCCGCGAATGTGTATCCCCCTTTTCTCATCCGAGGCACGTCGTTTCACAATCAAAAGGTGGGAGTTGTTTTCTAAAACGGGCTCAGGATTGAGATTAGATACGAAAGCGGGTGGTGGCCGGCATGCGTGCGATTTCAGTGATTTTCTGGACGAAGATCGGAATTTCGGCGTCTAGAACGCGGGTGAAGGATTCACGCGGGACTTGGCAGAGAGTTGTTCGATTCCTCGCGCGCCGAATCCGTCTTGTTTCCCCAGGTTTTGTAATTCGACACCGTTTTGTTTACTGGCGAGTTCTCACGAGTGTTCCCTAGCAGCTGTTGACGCGCTGTGCAAAGGCGACGCTAATGAGTGCCCTGTCGGGTTCGACTCGAGCCATTCGCGTTCCTGGGCCAGTGCTGAAACCGATACGAAACGCGTGGGTTTTTTCTGCCCTCCTCCCCCTTGACGCCTTAAATTTCCTGTCGATGGAAAGACGTTTCCTGTTTTCTTCCCGCGGACACTCGTCCTTGGCACTTCTCGGGTTCCGGTCCGCTCTGTCCCCGAAACCTTCGTCCCCAGCTCCCCCCTTGGAATATTAAAAACAGCTGTGTTTGAAGCTGGTGAGTTACTGTGCTGAGCAAAAACGACTCACCAAGGATTGGCGCTCTTTGTCTTTGCGCTCGAAGGGGGAAAGGAAAACGACTTGTGGTCCAAATAACCCTGAATAGACCCGGATCCCTTTTTCCTCGACGACGAGAGACACACAAAAGCAAGTGGCGCGAGCGGGAACAAAAACCGTCTCAGTCGACCCCCGGGTACAAACAGTTGTTTGGTCCGTCTCGGGAAGTTTGCAGTGAGGGCGACGCTCTTGGGTTGCGGAGGGGTTTTCTTTTCCTTCGGGTACCCGTTTACGTGCGGCTGCGCATTTACTGCAGCCCCCCGGAAATCGAGAGCCGAGGATTTGTCACCCGCATGTCAGGAGGAGTGTGAAATGCTCGCGGGCAAACGACCGAGCGCTTGTGTATCTTGTCATCGGAGATTGGGGCGTCCGATTTGACGACGGAAAAGGGTCATCATCTTTTTTGCACACAGCCTACTGGCACCACGCGCGGGGATGCTAACGGCTGAACGGTCTCCGCTCGAGTTTTATAGAAAGAAAAAGGCACTTTTGGTCGAAAGGAGTTGGCCGATTTGATTTGATCGGCGATGAAAACGACTTTGTTTTGGGCTGCTGCGTTGCTTGAATTATAAACAAATCGAGGCCGATTCACTTTCTCATACACTTACTCTACAGTATTATGGAAATGCAGTTGATTTTACCACGGAAATGCCTTTCACTTGCTTCTCTGCTTTTTTTCACGCATATGAAGATCTTGTGTCTTCACGTAGTTACCATGTACTCTTGGCTCTTTGGGTGCCATTTCAAGATTTGTTGGTGCCGCGACAGAAATTTCGAAGAAGTTGATTCAATAAACTAACTTGGTCAAAGAATCGTCTGACTTATAATGGAAAATATTAATGATAAACTCGTGCAACTTATTTTTTTCATACGCCACGCAGACTGGATTATTCTTATTGAATGCAATGTTTTCAAAAAGGAGTGATCTTTCGCCGTCACGATGCATCTTATATGCGGTAAGCGATAAAACCAATTTCCAACCACTCAAATGTTTTCGCATTAGGAAAAAATCATGTCACTGAAATTCGGTGAAGAATTTGAAATTCGACTGGTACAGAATTTATGCTTCATAAGAAATTCCCTGAAAAACTGATAAATGGCTGTGCACAAAAAGGATAGAAATAATTTTGAAAATTAATTCATGAAAAACTCGATGAAGAATTTTACTGTGAGTTCCTTGCTGTTGCCGACGACTGTTTCGTTCTCTTTCTCCGTGATACCCGGGAAAGGTTTCTCGGGACTAGAAAAAAGAATAGTGAAGTGAATAACGAATAGTTGTTGAGTGAATAGTTTTGTATCGGATATCGTCAGAAAAATTCCATCTGTCCCTCTTTCGTATTTTTTTCAGTCAGTACAATATAATAATTACAGTACGTATGCGTCCCGGTGGCATGACATTTACAACAAACCTCTGACTGAATCTTTCGTCAAGTCGCAGCAATTCGGGATGCAATCGAAAAAGCGGATTAAGAGTGCTGTATATCATGTAGTCAAACGGTTATGCATGTATTGAAGCGTTTGAATACATGGTCATGTGGAGAAGTCGGTTCTCTTATTCGATGCTCTCGAGCTAGTGGTCCGAAGGAAAAAAATGTTCTGCGTGATGCAGACCAACCAGTGTTCTCCAGCCTACTTGATCCGTATAACTACGGGAATGTTCAATGTGTTGATTACTATTGGAATAATTTTTTGACCTGCTAATTCGCTAACGGAAGAAGTAAGGACATTACAGTGAAAAGAAAATTACCCTGCGGACATACAAATCTGTACGTGTAAGTTCCGAGTGATGTTCAGATCCGCAGAATACCGGTTGAAAAACGCCCATATCATCTGAATTTCGAAGTACTTCTCTGGCAATTAGCCGACGAATTATTCATTCCTCTTATTTTCAATGGCACGTGAATGTGAAAAAAGCATAACAGAACTGCTGGACGAAGGCTTACATTTTTGTCGCTCTTTTTAGATTAGCTTCGGATCACTTGGTCAAAAGACTTCCAATAATAACGGAATAAACATGAATGTTCTAAGCCAACGCACTTCAGCATGCTGATAACTGTTCGGCACTGCTTTCATTTCAACGTGGAGCAATTTTCCGGAAGATACCGGTGTTTCGTTTGGCAGCACGAAAATTAAATTGAATTTGCTACGCTTCAATTCAAACAACGAATGAACGATATGAAGAAAAACCTCAAATCAGAAGAGAAGAAGATTCTATACATTTTCTTTCTTTTTTATTGATGCCGATGAAAAATTACTGAAGAAATCGTACACCGAGCTGGGGGGGGGGGGGGAATTCTTGACAACAGAAAGAGAAATTTACTGCATATATGCAGTATTTTTTGAACTAAACCGAACCTGATCCCCGAAGAGAAGTTTTCAGGAATTTATTCCTTCCGATTTTTGAATATTAATAAACATTTATTGACGGATTTCTGGGGGGAAAGGGGGGAACTAAGAAACGACGTGCATGTGCAATACGTGTACGTCAGCCATTCAGAACCGAATGCATCAGAAAATGGGGAAAGCACGTTTCGGGAATGAAGCTAATGAAACGTGGAATCCATATCTGTTGAGAAGATCATCAAACTGCAGTATATACATTTGTTTTCTCTTCCTTTTTTTTTCAGGCCGAGAGGCTGCGAGGACGACCGCTGGGCGCTGTGGGGCGCTACCGCGTCCGCCGGAAATTCCCGCTGCCGCGAACCATTTGGGACGGTGAGGAAACCAGCTATTGCTTCAAAGAAAAGTCGAGGAACGTGTTGCGGGAGTGGTATCACCACAATCCTTACCCGTCCCCGCGGGAGAAGAAAGATTTGGCGGAGTCCACTGGGCTCACCACAACCCAGGTTTCCAATTGGTTCAAGAATCGTCGCCAACGAGACCGCGCCGCCGAGCAGAACAAAGACTCGTGAGTTGACGCTTTTGTCGTTGCATGTGCTTCACAACAGGAATTTGTAGCTTGAATAAAAAAAAAAACACGGCAAGAAACAACGCAAAAAATCAGCATCAAATTTCCCGACGTGCGCTGGACATTCGATAGTCAACACAATCAAAATAAAAGGCGCAGTAGTTTTTCTTTAAATTTGGCTGACTCTGAATTTTGTTTTCGACCATTTTGTTTCGCCAGAGGCACTTGTCAGAATAGTAGCAAAATTTATATTAACCTAATTCCTGTTCGTCAGGAGTAAACATGAACAGTACATTGCCGTCAAATCTAAGACGCCACCTGATTTTTAAGGAAAAGTTAACGGGAAAAATGCGTCCCGAATTCAAGTAAAATAGTAACTATTTTTTGCAATTAAAGGGAGAAGTGCGTGTTGTATTTGATGGCGCCATACTTTTTATATAATCTTGAATTTATTGCTTCCGAGTCTCACGAACTCAAACTTATGAATGAAAACCGTCTTGAGTACAGTTGAACAATGCTTCTTAAGGTTGCGCTTCGATGAGATGTTGCATATCTGGCAGCAGCATATTGGCATCATTAATCTGACAAAAATAATCAGAACTTAGGAGCCCATCACTGAGAAATGACGAATCTCAACATTTTACTGATGATTTATTTTTCAGATACTGTCCTGTATTGGATATTCAGGGTAAACCTATTCAACAAGACTTCTCATTGAAATAATCGAGTAAGAACTAGGTGACTGAATAGAATTCATGTGAAATCGGATGATCTATCAACCTTTGCATAAAAAGGTAATTTAGAGTGAGTCTGAAATTTTTGTACAGATTTGGTTCTACTGACGTTCACAAAAAAATTGAGGCACATCTGAGTACCGTTGCTATTTTTGTGAATGCAAAATGGTTTTTGCATACACATCCAACAGTAGCTGACAGAATGTGCCTGTATTGCTAAAGATCCTTCGAGATATTGAACGCTGACCACATGTAACCTCTGACGAAAGCAAATGCTCGAGTCGCTTCTGTTTAACTGGAATCGTTCGTTTTAGTAGGGGAAGATATTTGGGTTTCAAAGGACTTTCTTGAGTATCGAGCTAGAATAATTCATAACTTACCGGCGTACCAATGTGTACTTGAATTCACGCGCGACTACTCGGTTTTTGTTGGATCAAAAGTTGCAGATGAAGAGGGGAGGTTAGATAAATTGTAATTCAGAACGCTTTAAACTTGCGCATTTAATGCGTCGAGTTTTTTATTTCAGAGTACTTGGTACCAGATTTGGGAACTTGGTTCGATTGTATCTCTGGAGCGACCACAAGGATCGGGTTGTGGAATCGAGTAAAAATACACGAGATGAAAACGTAATCGCGTTTTCTTACATCAGTTACTCTCTGATAAATGGGTTTCAAAACTGTGGTCAAACAGGCCACCTTCCGCTTGAATATCGAATTTACAGCCTCTTTCGGTTTTAAGTGCCACTTAGTTTTTCGATAGAAGCTTGATTCTGAGGCGGCTCTCCACTGGAGAAGGATCAACATCCGACGAAGTACTTTTCTGATTCATATTTTTGCCGCTTATACCTCAAAAATCATTTTTATGGATTAAGTTGATTTTGTCTTGTTTTCCGGGCCAAGACAATGTTTCTCCGAGATTAGAACTAGTTTAATCTAACCAAAATTTTGGTTTATGGTACGATCAGAATTGTAGTTGCAGTTCAATGGTCCCCTCAATAAGTATTTTAACCATTCCGTTTTGCCTTATTTGGAAATATCAACTTCGTACTTAATTTGATTCGTTTATTTGAAGTCTTGACGTTACGTGTCCAGGACATCAACAATGCCGGAAAAAATCCTTGGAAGTACAGTACTGTGCACTCAATTTAGGGCCCTCGAAAAATAATCTGTTTGTATAATTTTCAAAAAAATTGAGCTGAAGAAAAAAATGTTGTTGGATTCCACTCGCGATGTGCTCAAGAGTGGATTTTTATTCACCGGAACTGTCCGCTGACGATTTACAATCATGTAAAAATGAATGCTTCGTTTTTTAAAATTCAAGTTCACGAATAAAAGAAAAAGAACTACCATTGGAGTTCATCCGTGATGCTTTCGCTGAAAAAAATAGACGCTAATACCCCAGCGTAGGGGTAAAATTATATTCGAAAGGATTTGATTTTTTTCGAGGCAATCGCGAAGAAAGGAGGACATTATTAATTTTTTTGCCGATATGGTGATGGCAAGAAAGTTCGCACGAATGCCCATAAAAAGAACCGAAAGCATCGAGCCATGGAAAGGTTCCGTTGATGAATCCGGAGTAATGCGGATAATGGTTCGAGGCCGCGTGCGTAATGACGCCGGAGCCAGGAATCGTAGGCGCAATAAACAAGTACTGGACCGACCGCCATCACTGGCTGCACCGCGAATCCCTGCGCCGCTTCGCCAACGCAGTCGCCCTAATTTCACTCGTCATTAAGCCTTGCTTGCGGGAAAAGTCAACGCTCGTGTCAGAGGAGGGGAGTCGGGAACCCGGGGCGGGGTTTTCCCAACCAGCCCTGGATGTAACCATGGCTACACGCGATGGATCAGTAACATTCGCAGTTACGCGAAGATTAATCGCGCGCAGTAGCCTCGGGAGGGGGAGCCGATGGAAATTGCCGTTGTTGACGCCGTCCTTATTGCACCCGTTCGCCTTCCCATGTCAGTTCCGGCCGCCTAATGGCTGTCTAATCTTGCTTGATAAATTATCTGCCTACCCCCCCCCCCCCGGGGGGCAACTGGATCGGTGTACCGAAGGATGCCCTTCAGACTACCATCCTCAAATTCTGAGTGCATCGTTCAATGAAATAGGCAGATGATCTCCCGGAGACAAAACAAAAAGAGAAAGCTTTCCATTTCTCGGAGATCGCTGAGGAGAATTGCAGAGCACGGCGCTCAACCTTCCTCCAGATGATGCTAGCAGTTTCAACGTGACATCTGCAATAGTATTCAAGGACCACCATCGGAATGGCCAAACAATTAGCAAAAATCTTGTTTATCACTAGTTGTAAACCACCAGTGATAACACATTCTTTTGAGATATGCCAAGAAAATTCTAGGGGCACAGAAATTCATTTGCAATGGAATCCTCGTTTCCTGGAAGCATTCTACACCATCTGCCAAGTGTCTCTTTAAGTACCACTTGTATTACGCTTGTAAATGGTTAAAAACCCTTGCTGTGGAGCAGACTGCTCGGACTTCAATTTTAAAGAAATTTGGCCTCTAATATTTTGTTATAAAATGTTAAAAGTAGAAATCGCCGCAGGCCAAGTTTTCATGATACTGTGTTCGATCCTGTGTGGAGAATTTCAAAATCTTGCATGACACTAGAACCATATTTTCTTCAGGGAAATTCACTCACTGACTCAATTCGAAGGTGCACTTGACGAGAAAGATATGCCTCTTTTTAGTACTGTATTTCTTTGATCAAATTGCATCTGGATTATGTTGAACCTATTGTTTTGAATTATTTAATCGCATCCAGGCACTCATCGATGTTCTGGAAAGATCACACGTGCAGTGATCACTCGTTCTGTTTTGGAATTTGAAATCATTGAATCAGTCTCAAATAGATTATTGATCTGTGTACGAAAGACGAATCGTACGTTCAATGAAAGTTGAGTCATAATTGGACAGATCAAAACGATGCTAGCTCGAAATGGGTCGGCTAATTGGCTCGAACGGGCCACAAGATAGTTCAGCTTTTCAATTATCATCGTGGCTATCTTTATGTCATGGAATAGGATACTGATTTGATAGTTGTTTGGATACTTGGGCATCTCTTGGCCATTCTTCCGGCAGGTCTTCGTTAAAGAAATACTGTGACACGCCGGCAATCAACGAAACTAAAACAATGTCAGGATCGTAAAAAACCGCCGAGTTACTTTTCGGTCCCCCTCAACCTGGATAACCTTTAAACTGATGAATGCCGCAATGGGCTTCATAATTTCTAAACTTCATTACTCATTATTATAGTTCCTATTATTAGTCTATGATTGCATTTTACCGGACAAACGGATCATTATTTCCGAGATATTTCAGGAATGGACATGCAAAATGCTTCCAATCATTTTATGTTTTTACTGGTTATCAAATGATCATTACCATGTATCTTCAATTACACATGACGATCCTTCACCGCGAAGTGCAAGGTATCGTTAGGTGGTGACATTTTTTACTTTCCACGTTGAAAAAGACTAACAGAGCTTCAACATACAGTGTTGCTAAACAACTTTTGCAAAATCTGTAAAAATGCTGCTGATCAATGTCACGATTGTTCCTCGTGAGTTGTATCTACACGAAGAAAAATTACGAATAATGTTTTAAAAAGCATGAACGGTTAAATACGATAGTGAAGTCACACATGCGTGTGCAGCGATTGAGCAACACCTTAATTCTCTTTCATGGAGTCTTATTTTTATAGCATAATTGGGATATATTGTTCCCCGGAACTATTCATTCTCAAAATTTCGTCAACGCAGCTTTTATAATATAAATTTGAGACGATTGCTGACCTCATATCGACTCAGGTGTATGTACTGTCAGTTGATTTTAAATTAAGGCCAACATGATGGAGAACAAAAGCTGACAATATATAAAATCTGAAAACAGATCTTATCCCAAAATTTTCAAGTTTCAATGACGCCGGACGAATGGTTCGCAGTTTTAACCTCGATTCCATAAAAATTTCAATACCACGTGCCAGTCGCGTACCACTATTCGAAACACCTTGCATAACGTACAAATTTGTTGACGGCGGCAGTGAAAGTCTCCAGGAACATCGACGCGGACTTAGGCATGTTTTTTTTTTAAATAGTGGTCATTTGAAATCCGTTCACCAAAAATAAAAATAAAATAAAAATGGTTAGGCTTCATGTTTTCTCCTGAGTTCATTTTTCAACATACAGTACTGTCTAGGTACTGTATTAGATTTTAAAATTTTATTTGGAGAATTTTCTGAATCAACGAATAAGGATTTGTTTCAAGAAGCTTCGGCGGTAGCACGGTAGTCACTGTTTCGTGCATTGATTGAAGTCGCATGGTTTCGTCAGCGTTAGGTTTCAGCTTTTTCGCTGATTGTCAATTTTCAATATCCACATGGGCATATTTGCATGCTACCACCGCTGGATGGTTTAATATTCGCCAAAAATTGAAAAGTGGGTGGGCTTCCGATTATTGTCTCCGACTTTGATTTTTCGATATATTACATAATTTCTGAATTATAAACATAATCCGGCACTGTTTCTTTAAGTTGCCATGGCAGTTATAATACTGTTATCACGTGTTCTTTGCACAGTGCATACATAACCATTTAACGATAGGTGGTCGGGGATTCATGAAGTGTCTGCTGGGGGTCGCCCCCAATTCCGGTACGAGGATTTAACAGGATCCCTTTCTCACTTTCACAGGAACGGAGAGAAGCACGGAGACGGTTCGCTGACCCGATGTGGGTCAGGGATCGACTCCAGCTCGGAGTCGACCGACGGAGAGTCCCTGAAACCCAGCAGCGGCTACGCGATTCCCGGGCCGCCGGTAGGAGCGATGCGGGCGTCGTCGCCGCCGACTTCGTCCCCGGGGTTCCCGCTGGCGAGCATTCCGTCGAGCCAGGCCACGCATCTCAAGCCTCCCGACGTGCATTCCTCGTCCGTCATGGCGGCCGCCATGAACCCGCTCGGGCTCCACGCCGGCTCTTCTTCCTTGTCGCAGCTGCCGATGCCACCCCGCTCCATCGCTCTCGTGAGTACATCCAGTGTCCGGTTACGATAGCCTCTGTCCCCCGTCGGCGGCATTTTCTCCGCTTAATCGGCGGCACTTGACGCCCACGGTGCCGCCGCACGGGAATATCTTATTACGCCGCCGGATCTTGTATCGCCCACGCTGGGTCATGCCGCCGTTACTGTCGCATGCCGTAAAAATCCGCCTCCCGGTGGACTACTACGCGCAGAGGAATGTGTGATGAGCCTGCGGAGGCCGTCATTTTCCGTCCCAACGACGCGAAAGGAAGAATTTCGATTCCAGAAAAAACAGTTTCCATTAGGAGCCTTAATCACGCGGCTTGGATTCCGTGTTCATCCGCAGTCGAGACCGTGCGCGAGAGAAATGGCTCTTTCTGTCTTGGAATTGCAGATACTGTACAATAAATCTGACCCAGCCGCATCTCCGATTACATTCTCGTGCACTCCCCAAGTCTGTCAACCTTTTCGACCCACGGGACCCTTGGCAAAAATGAATAATAATGATTCTGTGGTGGTATCGCTTGGGCCAACTCTATGCATTCAAAATTATTTTTGGGGATTCGAGAAAAAAAACATCAGCCAACAGTTTTATACCATGGAATAATGATACTGTTCGGAGTATTTTTGTTTTTTCGTCTGAAGATCCTTCTTCTAAATGATAATTCAATACTTTTAGATTTGTATTTCCTTTGAGTAGACGCGGGTTTCTTGGGAAGTTCTTCTATGGAACACTGGGTTATTGAAAACGCATGCCGTATAGGCGCATACAATTGATGGATATGTTGGCATGAGTTCGAACAGGCTTTTTGTTCTATGATCCAAATGATTTCGATGCAAAATATCCATCATATTTTGTCTTTTATAATGGCCCACTCGCTTCCCAAAAAGTGCACCCTAAAATTCAGATGCGCCCTATACTGCTGGATGTTATCTGAAGTGAAATCGAAATCTCTGAACTTTTTCTGAAAGCCTTGCAATTCATATTTACTCTCATGTCCAACTCTCAGCAGGTCTACGATTCTATTCTCAGTTCCGCGAAGATCTTAAACCTATTTTACAATGAATATTGGTAAGTTCTATTTTGTTTATGGACCTTTTCGTTTCATAGAACATTAAATTTTCATGGCCTCTTCTGTTTTTTCTCTCGAACCTTCGCCAAAAATTATGATCCCGGCTATATAAATCACAAAATTCGTTACCCCTTCCCGCAGAGTCCATATAGAGTAAAAGAATGCATAACCGGGCTTCCAAAAAATCTTTTCAACTTTTACACACGTGCTTATTTCTAGCATTCATCGCTAGAAATAATGTGTCCAAAAGTAATCAATGGTTCGAGAATATTCATGTGCAAATGCTGAGAGGCTTTGCATTAATCGTATGCTGGTGGGTTTCACTGGAAAGTTAAAATGAAGGGAGCCATAACAGAAGACATATAACCACGTCGCGACGGGAATTAACGGTTTTAAAACGTCACGACTCAGTGCGTTCAATGATCATTTTAATGAAATTAACGCAGCAGTTCATACACTTTCTGGTCAGATTTTTAGATTCAATCACGGCACGAAATATTCCGAATTTCGAATTAGCTTCTTTCTCCAGGTGAGTTAGAGTGTAATATTGCGGCCTCGTCGATACCCATGTTCTTCTTCCTCTGGTTTTTCATATGTTTTGGACTTGTGAAAAACCTGAAAACTTTGAGACCTCAAGAAGTACGGCCACTTCGAAGAATAATTCATGACCTGAATCACTAAGACTCATTCAAGTGGGAATTCGTCAGCGACAAAAATATATGTTTATGTTGTAAATGTTCATGGCAGAATAACACGTGTCTACACAACCAAATAAGTTTACACCTCTAATCCATGACTCTTAACAAGTGCATTCAAAAAGTTGCTAACACCTAGAACGGTTCTGCATCATGCATGTTCAAGAAAATCTGTCTACAAACAACTGCAAAATAAAATCGCACTGGCACTTTCGTGTGAATATTGCGTTGAGCTTAATAATGAGCATTTCACAGCATCTACTAGATTGATTTCAAATTCTTAGTGAAGCTTTTTCGTCACCTTCGGTGATGCAATTTTAAATGATTTTGTTATGTTCTCGGGTTCCTTTTTCGCTTCAGTCAGAGTAATCCTGATTATTTTAAATAATTCGAAAAATATTGCGCCGAGATCCTATTAGCACTTTTTTAGATGACGCAATTTTTTTTGATAATAGAAATGACGCTCAATAGACAGAAGTCTGTGCCAGCACGTGGTAAAATCCTGCATGGTGACGATTACGCGAAGGATTTCACCATCTTGTGTCTTGAGTGATCTACTGCGATTGTTGCGTTGTGGTTCCAGTTATTTGAAGGAACAAATGTACCTCTCATGCAATGCGTCATCAATCCCTGCACATAAATGCTAGTTTCGTTTCTCAACATGTTTTATTCGTGGAGCTCTTTTCACAACTGATTTATATATGGCAGAGGCCTTGGGTTCTTCTCACGTGATGTAAGTTGGGAAGGGTATTATTTTTCCTGTGCCTTACGTAGTAATCGCGGCATTTTTTCGGTATTTTGTGCATTCAAATTATTCGAGCCAAACATTTTTGTTCGTTTGTTTTCCCTTAAATGTCCGCGGAGCCACAGCCATGACATATCCAGATACAGAGGGAAAACTTCCGACAGGAGAGTCTCAGAGTCCATCAGTTGAATTATTGATTTATTCGTTTCTAGATAAAACAATATATTTGTAGTTAATTTTCGTTCTTTGACTGGCGCGAATTACATATTACTGTATTTTTAAATGCACAGATTCTAAATTCAGGGATTATTTCATGCATTTTAATTTTAGATCGATTGCACTTCATGGACTACCTGAGATGTGCAGGCACAGGTTGAAAAGCCCGGATAACAGCGCGTCATTCAGTTCACTTCAACGATTTATTTTTTCAGTGGCGTCCCCCCCCCAAATTCTCATTTTCTTTCGATGCTGGCGGGATTGGGGTTGACCTATAGGTTACCGGGTACGTTGATTGTATCTGAACGCGAGTTACTCTTTCCAGGAGCAAGTGCTAATGTCACCAGGATCCTCGCCAGGCCTGATGGCGGACGCGGGGTTGCTGAAGAGCTTCGCCTCAGGCTGCGGACCGATGCCGAGTGTGACGTGTCCGACGGCGGCGGCCAACATGGCCGCATTCGTGTTCCAGCACCAGTCGCGAATGGCGGCTTCGCTCGGAGACGGGCTCGGGCACCCGGAAGTCAACCTGGACCACACGTCGCTGCTGGACCAGTCGTCGTTTCTCCAGCCGGGCTACCCGCAACTGTGATTTTCCCCGGAAAACTCAACCTACTGTCGGCAAGTGCGGAGATAGTGAGCATGTTCCCGGAGTCCTCTTCATCATCATCATCGTCGTCATCATTATACCGCGCATTCTTTCAACATGTCTCCGATCATCGTGTCGATGGGGGAGGAATAAAACAGTGTCGGTTTTTTTCCCTTCTTTCGCTGGTCTGAATATCTCGGTAATGCCAACGCGTGGGTGGAACGCGGCGGTGAGGAAGGGACTTAATTACCCCACCGGTTTCACGACTACGGAGCTAATTAAACCTTGCTCGCAGCGTTCGCTGCAACTCACTCCAGTTTAGCCGCGATTTCGGGACCCTCGCAGTAAATTCCAGGCTGCTCGTCTGAAATTCTGTGACAGCCGAAATTCCCTGCCTCATTCATGGCCTGACAGGATCGAGGGCCCGTTTCGTGCGGTTACTGGGGCCTTTTCATCTCTCCCTGCGAGTGAACAGTCGTCGTTTGCATTCGGACACGCCTTTTTAACACCCCTGATTTGTGACTGAGCACCGATTCAAACGGATGACATCCGGCCACAATCGGAAACTGTCGGCTGTGAAGTGCCAACTTCCCACGCTTTGTGGTGTAATGGACGAGGGGGTGATCCACTTATGCATGCATGCGTTGCCCAGAAACGAGCCCAGGTGGGGGGAAATTTTCTAGGAACCACTGCAACACCCCAGTGATCAACCACGTCTTTACGTGCTGCGATTATTAGTTTTAATGCTGGTTAATGAGGGTCCTTGGTTGGTACAGCAAGGCTCTCAGCGGTTAAACGTAGTTCTCATAAAAGGGTGGCATTCCTTTCGAAACTGCGGACTGCTGTGCTGGAAAATCAGTGGTCCCGGCCAATTTGGGTACCTGACGAACTCCGTGTACTGAAGGACATCCATCTGGACTTCTTCCTAGCAAGTACTAGGAGAGGCATAACTTGATTCCTCACACCATGCTCTAACGAATAAACAAGTACTGCTGTATTTCCAACAGAAGCTGGTTACACTATTTTGGCCAGCGATGATTATCGAATTTCTAGCATCAAAAAGAACGAAGGATTTTAAAGATTCGATTGATATATTCGTACAACAGCTATATCACCTTAACATTGAATATACAGTACTCGCATTTCAAAAAATCAGATAGAACCATTGGCTCAAAATTCAGCCGAAAAATCGCACTGCATTGTATTAAATTTCTGATACCATGCACGCTGTGACCTTCCTTTTAGGCATTTTTTACTGGCCGAGGAAAAAAAAACAAGAAATAACCGAAGAAAAATTGCGTTCAATATTTGAGAAATAAAGTAATTGTGAAATATTCTAGAAATTCAAGTGGCATACTCATTTCATGTAGCGGCGCGAAAATAAAACCGAGATACTGTTCTGGAATACCTTTAGAAAAAAAAAACACCACGCTAGTAGGGTTCTCTCTTGACAAGGCGTTTATCTACCTTATTTTCAGAAGTATTTTTATTTTCCCCTATGTGCAGCAGATCGTCTTATTCTAGATCGGATGTTATATATTTGTTCCAGTGGAGGAGCTCAGTTTGAAATCAACGTCTCTGACGGGACCCGAACCTAGAATAATATTTCTAGACGTGTACCTATTATTACAGACACGTCATTCCTCACGAATTCTGAGTGAGCCTTGATTCTACAGCTTAATGCATTTCTTTTTATATCAGACATCAATTTATCCCACCATAATCATTTTTATAGATTTTTTTCTCGTGTCCCGGAGTGATTGCGGAGCCCCGGATGAGAACCTCTGAAATTATATCAATGAAGTCGAAATACTGTACAGTATTTATACAGTAAGGTGTTTAGACCCCAAGAGGAGTTATTCATTGCAAGTCTTGGATGAGAGTGTGCGATTTATAATGACGTGAAAGATTATTTTGAACGTTTTCCGGACATTTCAGCGATTCCCTGCCTAATAATAGGCCCTCCAAATTCTCTGAGAATCATCTCGCCGAAGTCCTAGATCGTGAACGCTTTTTGAGAAATCCGACGTGATGGACGAATCGTCACTGTATCTGTCGTCCCTGTGAAAACCCCGGGGTTCGTGAAGTCTCCGTGGCCATAATTACAACAAGCCGAAACTTCCATTAAGAGCAATCGGTTGCATCAGGACCCCGAACTGGAGCTAAAGGGATGCTCGAAGCATCTGTCATAGTTCGACAAGCACCGAGATATGGTCATGAGGAACCGGACGGCGATGAGAGGTTTCTCGAGTCCCGCAGCAGACCGCGTGCCGGCTTCTGTTGACCTTCCGAGCGTCAGCGATTGACAGTAACTACGCAACGGGATCAGTGCTTCCCGCAGAGGAGGCTGTATTATATGAATCACGACGTTCTATTCGTCATGGCTTTTACATTGGTGCAGGCTCAAGTGAGCGCCGTGGCCAACTGAACGCCACCCGAACGGGCGTCGGAACAGCTGACTGTCTGAAACATACACCTGATGGCTCAATAATCAGACTGACTGTATCTTCCATTTACAGAAAGCATTCCCCTGAGAGAAAATGGCAACATATGCGCTATTTACTCCAATACTAAGCACAGTCACACGCCGCCAATTTTCAGCTCAAGATTTAGATGAAAACATATCTCGGAGTAAGACATTCGCCCCAATTTTCAGCTCAAAATTGAAAAAAAAACCTATCCCAGCACAGTAAAGCACTCGGCCCATTTTTCTGACTGGAAAATACCATATTCTCTACCATACCGTGCTCAATTTTTCCGAAAGTTCGAGGAAAAAAGAAGTGTGCGTGTCAGCGTATATGGAATTTTTACATTTTTTTATAGTTTTGGTGCGCCTAATACTGTACTTGCACCGTTCGTAAAAATGTTGAACCCATTGAATACAAATTTTTTAAAAACGAAGTTCAATTGAAAAGCAATTGAATGATGTTCAATTCAAGATAAAACTCGAATTTTGTTGTTGAAATTTATGTCAGATAAACATGGTGCTCTTTCTCTGGGAATATTAAGATAGCTTTTTAAACAAACTTCAGGCTAAAAATTGGAGGCACTCGCCTTACTTGAAAAAGATTGGTACTACTCAGATAAATAGAGTAAGTAGGCTGTCAATTTTTCATCCACTGCTTTTCAGGAATGTACAGAAGTTTGCGTGAATTGTGAACCTTTTTTTTTGACGGCCAAGAACATCCTCCAGGCCGTCCCGGAATCATTATACCCTGCTGCTGCTGCGACACAATAACAACAGGAAATGAAAGTGAGCTTAATGAGTGAAATAATGTAATTTATAGAACTTCACGGAATCCTCCAAATGGAATACTGTACTAGGTCACACTCATCACGGAGTATTGTTGGCGTTGAGTTGGGTGACGCTCAGTTGGGCGGTCGCGATCTGGATCATCCCGCGGGGTCCACTCCAAGTACTGTTTTGATTTTGAATCCACCTCGGTGTGCCATTACACATATCTGGCTCGTGGTGGTATTCATTCGTCAACGTCGTCCGGAAGGACAATGCTTTCGTTAAGAACCGACAACCCGGGAGTATCTTCCTTCCTTGTTATTCCAGGCTCCTCGTACGTTTCAAGGCAGGATGATTCACGCGGAAGTGTGGATTTGGTACGAATTTGGAAACTTATAAATTTATGAATCTCAAATTAATGTCAAAGGAACATTTTGAATGACGACGAAAATTCATGAGAAGCAGAATATTTTTTCATCAGTTGAATGAAAAAGTTTTTTTCTGCTTTCGTCGCGGACCAGGACTTTGGATTTGAGCGGAAATCAGCGAAATGAAGGCAGGATTATTGTATTTAGAATGATGCGAGGAAGACAATCTGAGGCCTTCCGTACAAAATGATCTTTGTTGCTTTATTGTCTGGATCATTAGGGGTTTAATCTCACAAGAATTTTGCTGAAATGACGGAAAACCTTTTCCTTTTCCACACGTCGAGCACAAATCGTTCAAACACATTTTGAATACAATGCCGTATTTTTCCTCCAACTTTAAAATTAATTCCTCATGGGTATGTTCGTGACCCCTCGAAATGTGCATATTGGTCTGATCTGGTTGCGCATGATTTACTCTGTATTTCTCCACGTTCAAGCCCATTTTATGTTGAGGCCCCGACGGTGAACGTGGGTTGATTTTCTCTCTTGTCGTAATTCGTGGTTTCATTGAGTGGAAACTCACGTCATATTTTCGAAAAAAAAAAATGGAAGAAATATACTTTAGTTACATCTTCGCCGAAACTGGCGAATTTTTTATTTTAGAAACAGCAGGTTCCCTCAAGATGCATCGTAGTTCTAAGCATCGTAAAAAATGCACCCTCTGCAGAAGTTTGCCGTATGTGGAATTCAATCGAAATTTCATTCTCCCGAAAAGAAGCATAGGCATCATATTTTACGAGAAATGCGCGAGGGTTTTTGATGATTATGTTTTCCAAACGTAGAAAATTATTTGGACTGAAACGTGTCATCGAAGAGCGAAGTATGGTTTTGTATAACCTTAAAAATGGAGTATTATGAGGACCAGAAGAAATAGGAATGTGATTCCAAATTTTTACCAAGAGAAAGAAAGCGCCTTTTCTTCCCGTCTCATTTAGCGGTAGTCATCACTTCTTATTTTCAAAAAACGAACCCAAAGCACGTTATGCGAGTAGTGTCACTATTTCCTCAATGACTGCGTTATGCAGTATTACCGAGGGAATAATTATTGATAAAATACTGTAGTAATGATGATGAAATCCGAGCGGTTTCAATAATGCATTGGTGCCAGAGGTTTCACGGTGTGCTCATAACTCGAAACCACACGTCGTGGATTCGAACCACGGAATGAAGAAGGGTCTGAAAATTTCAAGGGCTGCGATTAAGACGAGTTTACATCCGGGGGTCGAGTTGCGGATCAGAATTAATGGGGTGATTGAACTGCATTGAATGAACTTGTTGGGTTCAGTGGAACAACTCTTCCGCTGCGACTCCCATCGGCTTTCGGTTGTTTTTTCTGTCTCCTAATCATGTGGTCGCAGCTGGTTTCTGACATTGATGCCCGAACCACCGACATGATTTCCAGAGTGCAACAAATCACCCGGACATTTTACGACATCAAACAGGTCTCGGGTGCATTATAAACATTTCTGTAGTTTCCGTGTCGAGCTTAACGGACTGAAGTCCATGGAAACGCA